GAGGGAGAGGAGGGGTTGCCCGTTAAGACGGGGATGGTTGGGATGCGGGCCTTGTCAACGCTTGGTGGGTGGCCCCGTCGGCTGGAGCTACGGGTGGTGTGCGACCATTTGAGTCGAGAGTGATCAGCAATGGTGTGGCTACTTTGCCTACGGATGGGCCGAGCTGACCCCTAGGGCGTGGTCGCCATCTGTTATGACCTTGCATGTTGGGGCTTGAAGAGGAGGGAGCGGGGATGAGAGGAGATTAGAGATTATTTATTTCTATCTGTTACACGTGTACCAGTGATGGGTTTATTTATTTGTATATTTCTTCTTGATACGAGAATAGTTCACCTTTTTGGAATAAAAAAACTTAAAACAACAAAAATGTGAATTTAGAAGAACCATGCCAACATTTGAATATGGAAAAAATAGATACGTGCACCATAAATGAAATGAGCAGATTTAAGATGTTAAATATGTTGTGGGCAATTGCATAAAAAGGGGTGTTCAAAAATGAGATAAAGTTGAAAAATAAAATAAAATTAAAAAGCCAAGCGCACATGTCATGCCCGGAGGTAATCTGGTGACAATGATTTTATCCTTGATCATTTGTTAAGTTGCTAATTGTCCAGTGCCGCACAATGGGCCACCGTCTCACCAATTTGGGTGCTCCCTTAAGGGCACGAATGAAATGTCATATTCCGCCCTTATAAACAAGGCCTGGTATCCTTTACTTGCCGATGTGGGACTAAAACACCTTCTCGCGTGAGCAAAGAACTGCATTCGTTCAGGTTAGAATGAGTTGGAAAATGCCTGATGGCCTAGCATAACTCAGCGGTGTACATCTTCAGAGTCTCTGTTTTCTGCTTTTGCCTCATTTTGAAGTATCATTAGATGCTGCTGCTGCTGTGGCAGAGTAAAACTCTCCAAGTTTTGTTAGTGCTGAAGCTAGACCCTTGATCAGTGGATCTTATCCAAAGAAAATTATACTCGTAATGAATCATTTCTTATATAGTATCGACGTGATTGATACCATCAAACCAGGCTTCGGGTAAACCATTCTTCTTGTTTGCATGAATGCAGTTACCAGTCTGGTCTTGGCTTTCCTTTACTAGACCCCAGAATTAAACTACTCTATTGCAAACTTTTTATGCTCCCTCTGTAAAGAAATATGAGATTGTTTAGATCATTAAAGTAGTAGTGATCTAAACAATCTTAAATTTATTAATAGAGGGAGTATTTTACAATGAATGTGTTGTGACCAAAGTTTAATTAACTAGTTATAATTGATAAACATTAAACCAAATGATGCCAAATCCCACGTTGCTTCCTTTTATCTTTTCGATCTTCCATTCTTCCGAATCGACCATGGTTTATTTGTTGGAGTCGCTTATTTTCAGTCGACGGAAAAGAAATTCATTTGTAGTCGATTCTATCCGTCATCGTCTATCTTTCTCCTATGTCATTGACGTCGACCTGTTAGCTATGTATTTGAAAAAAAATGTACATCATATACTTTGAAACATGTTTAACATATATCAAGAAATGTTACACATTTATAATAAAAATTAACAATGTGTATTAAAAAAGTAGACATGTGTTAAAAATAAAAATAAAAAAATAAAAACCTATGAAAACTTAAAATAAAAACAAAGAAAACCAAAGAGGTATTAAACAGAAAAACAAGAACTAAAGAAAAACAAAGGAAAAACCGATGATAGTAGTGAAAATCTATAAGAATAATATATATATAAATAAATCAAAAACTCAGGCCAATGG